ATGGAGCTGCACCACAAATACTACCCGAACCCTTGTTGTGTCGCAACCTTGCGCTTCAAGGTTCGAAGTGGGCTGTACTGCAAGCTGGTACTTTGTACTTCGTAGGGTTGGCCGCACAGTGAATAGCCTCGTACTCCTCACCAGATTCTTACTGTGTTTCTAGCCTGAGAGAGCGCAGAAAAAACAGCTAAACAGAGATTATAGTGCCAGCTACACAGTCCATTTTGGTGGTTCATTACACGGTCCGTCTGCACGCTAAGGTAGCCTTGCAGCAGGGCAGAGTTACGAAAGTTACCTAGGTAGTGGCCGAGGTCCGACTTTTATGCACCCTTGGCCGCTTGGCTGCCTTGGTGGATCCTTATAGTGGCGGCACCTTGGTAGCTTGTATGTTTGTACCTTACCATCCATATCCCACCAAGGGCTACCACCACTTGAACTTCATCGACCTCAAACATCCTCAACCAACCCATCTATTCTGACCTCTCCAATCTTGAACACAACCACATACCTACATACCTAGGTAACTACCTACATAACTGCTTCTTCTCTCAGCAGCCTCACCGACCCGATTGGATCACCCTTTTTACAAACAAATAAACAAACAAACAAACAAACAAACACACCAATAAAACCATGGGCAACGACGGCGGCTCCATCCCTAAGCGACGGGAGCTCGTCAAGGAAGCCGCGCGCCTCCCCACCACCTCGGAGCTCAAAGCCAGCGCCCAGGAATCCCTCGCCCACGCCTGGTCCAACTGTCCGCTCTCGTCCGCGCCCCTCGAGCCCGCGAGCACCGTGTCCGACTGGAAGGGGCGCCTGTACAACTACGAGGCCGTGCTGCAGGGCCTCCTGCCACCTTCATCGAGAGGAGGAGGAGGAAGTGTTGGGGAAGATGACGACGACGAGCAAGGGGGAAAGAAGACGGACGAGCTAGCAAAAGCGGGGATAAGGAGCCTGAAAGACGTGGTCAGGCTGAAGTTTGCGACGCGCAGGGACGACAGGACCGGCGTCGAGGTCCGCGCTTGTCCCGTCAGCATGAAGGAGTTGGGCGCTTCTACACGCGCCGTGTACGTGGTGCCGTGCGGACACGTGTTCGCCGAGGTGGCGATGAAAGAGATTTCGGGCAGTACACCGGCGCCGGCGACGGTAGCGGATCCTCCCACAGACGACAACAACAACAGCGACGCAGCCAAGAAACCCCAGAGATCATGTCCGGAATGCAGCGAGGCCTTCACGGATCGCGACGTAATACCTATTCTCTCAACAGACGAGACAGAGCTCGAGAGGCTAGCGAGGAGAGTCGACGAACTCAAAGGTTTGGGGCTGACGCACGGCCTGAAGAAGGACAAGAGCAGCGGCGGAAAGAACAAGAAGCGGAAGGCGGAAGAGGAAGTTGGCGATGGCAATGCCGCGGAAGCCAAAAGGGAGAAGAAGAAGAAGGACAAAGATCGGAAAAAGAACGGTGGAGGAGGAGTGGCAGACAAGGAAAAAGAGAAAGATACCGGCATCTCGAGTCGCATCAACAACTCCATGACGGCCTCGCTCACGGCCAAGGTATTGGCGGAGCAGGAGGAGATGAGCAAGAGGAGGAGGAGGATGGCGCATGGGTATCATAAGAGGAGCCAGGTGGTTAGGTGATAGTGATGATGATGATGAATCACCCCGACTAAACTATCTCGAAGCCAAAGTGTGAAAGATACGCCGACGTGAAAGATAACGCCGACGTGAAAGATACGCCGGCGATATGCAGAGAGAGAGAGAAGAGTTGAATCGCGGACCAACAAACAAACAAGTCAAATGATACCACCATATTCCCATTCCAGGAAAAAAAACCGTAGATATGGGCTTCTTCATTCGTACCTTCATCATGCTCTTCTAGTTGTCACTGTTGTTCTCGCTGTCATTTTATTTTCGAGGGTTTTAGGATTCCTTCTACATGTGGATAGGGACAGGGACAGGGACGGCCAGACGTGTGTGTATGATGTAAACAGGCAGCCAGCAAGCAACCATGCGCTCTGAAATCAGATATCTTATAGGTTAAAACCGCTTCACGCTTTTCCAACACATCCATCCACCCATATGTCTCTCTGTCTCTCTGTCTGTATGCCTCCATGCCTGTGTTGTGTAAAATAAGGTATTTCCATACAAGGCACACCTCGTCACGTTTTCCCATTGCACACAACAATCGCTCGCTTCTCTGGCTATTTCTACTAAATACTACATCCAACCAACCCTCCGATCATGATTCATTCACTCACCCCATCACATCACAGCTCATCCTTACCCTGCTGACCAGGCTTGCTGACCGTCCCCTCTCCTGCTTCTCCGCACACGGCCGGCGTCCCGACCTCCATCTTATACACGCACTTCTCGAGCTCGCTGACGCGCCAGAGCTCCTCCTCGCCGGCGCACGCGAGCCAGACGTCGGTGCGGCGGTTCGGCCCGTTCCAGCAGCCCTGGCCGTTCTCGTATTTCAGGATGGTGCGGCGGCCGCGGCCGAGGCTGCGCCCGTCGACGCGCTCCTCCTCGTCGGCTTCGCCGTACTCGATCCGCTCGAACCGGCCCATGCTCGTCCCGCCCCCGCCCTTCTTGCTCTTCTGGCTCGTCTTGTCCATCCAGCACAGCTCGTACGTGTACTCGCCTGACTCGGTCGACACGCACTTGCCCTTGAGCGAACGGAAGATGTCGTCCCGCCCGTAGTCCTTCTCCAGGTCCCCCTTCTGCTCGTCCAGCGTCCGCTGCCGCGAGCGGATGTCGTTGGCGACCGCGTCGTGCTCCTCGCGCGCGGCCTTCACGAGGCGCGACTCGCCTTTCTCGGTCGCGCTGTCCGCGAGCATGCCGTTCTCGATCAGCCAGATCCGCAGGGTGTTGAGCTTGTGATGGATAAAGTCACGGACCGGGCCGGGAAGATAGGCCTCGAAACTGTACACTGAAGGAGAGTCAGCTACTTGCATGATCATACGTGGTTAGAGCTGATGGTGACATACGAATATCTGTGTCAGTGGCCTCTTCGCCCTCAAACTCGGACCAGTTGACGCCAGAGCTCTCGCTGTCTTCCTTCATTACCTCGAGAATGTCCAGCTCGTTGAACTCCTCCACGGCTTCTGTCTTCTTGGCAGCATAGTCTTCCCAGCCTCGCACGGCTTTCTTGACACCCTCGTCGTTGAAGTTGGGGTTGTATTCTTCCTTAAAAGCAGACAGGATGTCCTCAAGCTCGGCGACTCTGTCTCGGAGCTGTTGGCGTTCATCCATCGTCTTGCTAAGGGCATCTCTCAATTCGCTAACTCTGTTCTTGGCCAGACCAGCTAGCACACCGAGTTTCCCGGGCCCTTGGTCCGTGACCATCTTGAAACGCTCCTGGCGCTCCACGTCTTCGAGTTTTGCCTTCAGTTGATCACGCTTCACTTCGAGCTCCTTGATCTCGCCGGTGAGAGTCGTGACCTTGGCTTCGACACGGCGTCGGAGCTCCCTAGACTCTTTCGCCATAGTTTTCCGCTTCTTGTTGGCATGCTCGAGCTTCTCTTTCCGCTCCTTATCCACCCGCCGCCACTCCTTGCCAATCTCCGCACACTTGTTTGGGCATTTGACTCCGCCTACGTTTCCAAACTCCTCGGTGCCATCGCAACATAGATCGTAATCACAGACGCCGTCGTTGACGTACATGAAAGGGACGTAGGTGCCGATGTGGCCCTTGTTCTCACACCAAAACCCTGGTAACGCATTCGTGGTGTTTGTCGAACCGGACAGGGAACCGGGTAAAGGCTGTTGAGGAGAGAGATGGTCTAGAAGAGCACATGCGGCAGTGCCAGGCTCGTCCGTGCCATCGGGGCAGTCGCACGAGTTGTCATTGACTTGGGACGAGGATATGGTAATCGAAGGGTGGCCTATACATGTGAACTTGTCCTTGAACTCGTAGAACTTGACGACTGGACGAAATCCATTGATTAGTATCCGAGAAAGTTGAGTACGAATGGCAGGAAACCGAATAATTCAAACATTCAAGACGTAATTGAGGTCATATTTTCTCCCATTGAGACTGTCCGATGCACCAAATGGGCAGTAAGTAGCAAGGTCAAGGGGTAGAAGAGCAGATGGGATGAGATGACCGATTGGAAGCACTTAGATAAATAAATAAAGGAGGGCTAACTTACATTCAGGACCGACACCTCTGGGAAGAGATGCTGCTGTAGCCAGGCCATTCCGGGCAATGGCACCCAGCAGCAGCAAAGCCTGGGATTGCCGCATTGTCAATGACCGTCGTAAAGAAAAATGAACAGTTGGTTGGATGTCATGGAAACAGACAGACAGGAGGTTTTAGTTGGCTCGGGCCCGTGGAGACATGACGATGGAATTTGGAAGTTAACACGAAACCCACTGAAGCTCCCCTGTTCCTGCTGTCCTGTTCCTGCTCCCCTGTCGAGCTTCAGCCACATCCCCACGTTCCCTCCCCTCTTGGCATCCACCTGCAAAAGCCACCCCCCGGATTCTCCAAATGGAGGGGCACCCAGCACCCTCCGCATTCTTCTTCTTCCCCCCTATTTTCGACTGACCCTCACTGCCTCATATCTGCTTGCGAGCTTCGTGTGGTTATACTCAATGCTCACAATGACCACATGACCGTCTTTCAAGTCAAGTAAATGTGGAATAACAAAATCATCAATGCTCTTACTAAGTATACCTCCACCCATCCTATCTCATCCACTAATTCGATTCTCTGTCTAGTAAAGCTCCCACTCCTCTCTCTCTCCCTCTTTCCAAATCTTTATTAACTTTCTTCGGGAACCTGCTTCAATTTCGATGCATTTTTATTAATCTTTCGATACATCCCTCCCTACATACAGGAGTAGCTACTTAGATATGTAGACTGATCAAGGCGCGGCGACAGCGTGAATAGCCCCTTTGTTTGGTTGCGGCAAACGAGACACCCTACACGTAAGTGCCTAGAAAGAGATACACGGAGAAAAAAACGAAGGGAAGGAAAAGCGAAAAAAAAAAATTCGTGTCCGCGCTGAGGTTCGAACTCAGGACATCCGGTGTATTCCCTCCTAGGGAGGTGTGAAACCGGCGTGATAACCACTACACTACACGAACATGTCTTCAAAATCCAAACATCATGACTTATCACTCACTGCAGAAGAGTAAAGAGATACTGGAAACAAAAAATGTGGCCTGGAACTAGAAGAAGTGGTCACTGAAAAAGTCGGTGTCAGCGTAGGTACTGGATGGACAGGTATGGTGTAAGTTGAAGTGAGGGCAAACCAAGTAACTTGCGGTAATTCTAGCTATCAGTAAGCCGCAAAAGGCTTAGAATAACGTCGATGAGAGTCCAAGGGGGAAGGACCATGGCAAGCTTGGGAAGTCGTATGGCCGAGGTTTACGATGATTCTCTTCCCTTCTCCCCTTTTTCGTCGTTCGTCGTTGAGATCAACTGAGAATACTGGACTGCTCCTATGGTCAACAGTCGGTCCGATGAGCCTCACAATATTCAACGCTACTCCGATATGTGCAGCCAATCCGAGGTACCTATCCTCTGTCTGTGAACCTGGAAAAACACAGGGCTATCAGCGATATCCCTCCAGGGCTGTGACGGGACATTAAGTAGGTCTAGGTTAGGTACAGAGGCAGATGTATGGAGGCATCCACATGGATGGATCAAACATCCAATTGGCCACAGCTGCGCCACAACCCCTAACAGAGGCTGAGAGGTGTAAGTAATGGAAGAAGGTACTTAAGTATCCATCCAATGACGGCCAGAGCCGACAACCAACCTGGGAAGAACCAACAACTTCTGCGTATCGTTGTCTTGCGCACGTCACTCCAACGTTGCTTAAGCCTCACTTACCTTTTCTCATAGGATCACATTTGTTGGCTGCTTCCACTTATCACCGAGTGACCTTTGATATGATACGTCACCAATTCTTCAGAGCAGGACACCGCCCTGGTCTACGATAGGTGATGCCTGATTTTACTTGTTTCAACAACGATGGCTTATTACACCCCGCCCAACTGCAGTGCAGTGCTGGCAGAAGAATAAAGCAATAGGCAATGCATGATCGATATGAGAATGAAGACGGTGAGGACTAACCCCGCAACATCTGAGCCACGACCATGATCTCTGTGCCTAGTGAAATGCCACGTTGGCTGTGCTTCCAGACTACTAACATACCGGTCTCTACTTTGCCCGGCCTTTGTGGGCCTACCCGAATCCACAGAAACGATGAATCCCAGGAACTGCCTCCGTTGTCTCTTCCCAACACTTGCGAAGGTCACAGCCTAGTGGAGTCGAAGCAAATAGACAAACGTACAATTTGGCGCCAAAGAAATGGGACGGTCGGTTTTGGAAGTTCAAAGCCTCCCGTAGAGGGTACCGAACGTTGGACCAAGCTGCAGATAGCCATTGCTGCCTGTGCGGTGTCTGGGATGGCTTCCCTTAGAAAGACATCATCCGGGGGGATAAAAGGGGGTCGATTGGGCTGATGGAAGGATTGGTTTCTTTGTATTCTGGTGTCCCAGGGATCACTGAGATCCATCGCGCTGCTTCTTGAAATACGATCCTGAGAAGCAATCCACCAATATCTCAGACAGCAACCTAACCCAACTGATATGTAAGTCTTGAATCCCGACAAGAACTATGATATAAATTCTCATCTTCTACTTAGAGATTGTTCCCTTCCTCTCTCCCTCTCTCCCTCTCCCCAATCTACTACTTCAGATTGCGACAAACACCCAAACTTCAATATGGTGAAGGAAGAGATACAGGATGATTGGGAGATGTTGGACGATAAGTCGGACGTGAAGCTGGAATCTAAACTCTCGCGGTTTCAGGACGACCTCGACCTTTCGGTGCACGCACTTGCGAACAACGAAGGTATCGTTGTCCAAGTAAAGCCCCCCTCGGCGCCGCCAGCGGGCACCAACATCGGTCATATCCCCTGCGACATCGTTTTGGTGATCGATGTCTCGGGAAGTATGAATTGGCCTGCCCTCGCGCCCGCGAACAGTGCTGCTGGCAATACCAAGAGCGAAAATTTCGGGCTTTCCTACCTAGATCTCACGAAACATGCCGCGCGAACGATCTTGGAGACACTGGACGACAACGACAGACTCGGTATCGTCACGTTCAGTCATGACGCATGGGTATGGCTGCGTTGAGACTCACCCGGTTCATGAGCAAGCAAGATACTGACTTTAATCCCATGTTCACAGGTCATTCAACCCCTACTTCAAATCACCAAAGAGAATAAAGAGAAGTTGACCGCTAGCATCAACGAGATGCAGCCTCTCCATATGACGGCCTTATGGCGCGGTATCAAAACCGGCCTCGGGTTATTCGAAGGCAATGAGAACTCAGGTCGAGTCCCGGCCTTGATGGTTCTTACGGATGGACTTCCCAACTACTTGTACGGTGCCCATCCCTTTGGTCGTCAATTCAACCCCTGAAATCTTGTCAAGGCGTTGATTAAGCGGTGCATGCTCGTCTTGTTCTATATGAAACAGTCGCATGGCACGCTGACGTACAGATCACGAGGCCCATTCCTAGCATTTCAAGGGTTGAACTGTACGAAAATCAAAGAATCGAGCTGACGACTTCACAGGGAACCTGACAAAGGTTACATCCCTTCGCTCCGCCAACTTGGAGAACTTCCAGCGACTATTAATACGTTCGGTTTCGGATACGAAATCCGGTCAGGACTTCTCAAGGCGATTGCCGAAGTGTCTGGAGGCAACTTTGCTTTCATACCCGATCCAGGCATGATCGTAGGTAATCCCCTGAATCCTCATCAATATAACGATGACATTTAGCTCACAGCCCTTCCCCCCACTAGTGTACTGTCTTCACTCATGCCGTTGCCCACCTGCAAACGACATATGCGACCAAATGCACGCTTGAGGTCCACACAACTTGGGACTTCAACTTCACCGCCCGGCCCCGCAAAACAATTGACCAACAACACGAAGTCGTCGGACATGACATGTCGGTGGTTATCAAACTCGGCAATCTCCAATACGGGCAGACTCGAGATATATACCTGGAGAATGTTGACGATAACGGCCGGATGGCCCCCTGGGCCCCCTTTATCGAGGGCGAGGTTGAGCCATGTCTCGGGGTAAAGTTGGGATATACGCCAATTGGCTCCAAGGAGAAGAAGGTATCTAAGTTTGAAGGGGGCTTCTTCGCAGCAGAACAGTCGCGCCTGGACGATGCCGAGACCGCATACTACCTAAGCCGAGCCATGGTCTGCGACTTCCTATCGTCCTTCTTCCGCACGAGCCGGGTACACGAATACGTCAGGTCAAAGTTTGACCTCGCTTCCAGCAACGCGGCGCTCGAGGAGCTTCTCGAGACGGTCCCGGCGAAGTACTATTCGGACCCGCACAACGAGTCTCTGATGGAGGACCTGGTGGGCGAGCACCCGGCCGGCCAGATCAAGCTCGCGGTGTCCGACGCGGACTACTTCAAGCGCTGGGGCTGCCACTACTTCCTCAGCCTATGGAACGCGCACGAGAAGCAACTGTAGGTCACGTCCATTGCCCCCTCATGCCGCATATTAGCTCTCTCTCTCTCTCTCTCTCTCTCTCTCTCTCTCTCTCCCTGACACCTACGCAGATGCAACTCCTTCCGAGACCACGGTCCGCTCATGTACAACCAAAACCCCTTCTTCCTCCAGTGCCGCGACGCGCTCTACGACGCCTTCAACACCATCCCGCCCCAGCGCCCGTCCCTCCCGCTCCCGCGCGCTCCTACTGCAGACCCGAACCAGAACCAGAATACCCAGGATCTCTACTACCAACAGCGCTGGACGACGGCCTTCAGCGGCACCTCCCACACCATCGGATGCTTCGCCGCCTCCAGCCGCGTCCTGCTCGCCGCCACCGACGGTCACCAGACGACGGCGACGACGACGCCCATCCGCGACCTGCGCAGGGGCGTCGCGGTGCAGACGCCGCGCGGCGCCCGCCGAGTCGTCGCCGTCCTGAAGACCCGGGTCGAGCGCGCGCGCATGTGTCGCATCGGCGGCGATCTGGTCGCCACGCCCTGGCACCCGATCAGGATGATGGACGACGGTGTAGGCGAGGAGAGGTGGGTGTTTCCGGCCCAGGTCCCCGGGGCCAGGGGGGTCAGGTACACGGGCGCCGTGTACTCGGTCCTGCTGCAGCCGGACGCGGATGTCGAGGCGCACGCGCTGCGGATCGACGGGGTATGGGGGGTTACTCTGGGACATGGGCTGGTAGGTGGGAGTGTTGATGATGATGTGCGGGCGCATCCGTTTTGGGGAAGTTATGGGGAGATTGTGAAGGAGATGGCTAGATTGGGAATGAGGGAGGATGGGGTTGTGAATGGGAACGGTGGTGGTGGCTTTGGAAGAGCGACGGTGAAAGGTGGGAAGTAAGTAAGTGAGCGAGTGGATGGATGGGTGAGATTGGGTTACTTGGGGAAAAAAGGATGGATGGAGGTCAGACTGGAGTGACAATTGAGATATGTATTAACTTACGATGATGCTACCGTCAACATCCATGGAGTAGACAGACCTCCACGGCGTTCATACAAGAGACGAGGCGTTCATTTCATAGAATTGGATTTACATCTTGGTCACCGAACCCACGCATTTTCATCAAGAGGGAAACGCACCGGAAACATGACATATCTACATACGATATAAACAGCTTCATGAATAGAAAATGGTGATTAAAACGACGATGATGGTGATGATGATGATGATGTCGCGGTTTGACTGACCATTGGAATTCAAGAAGACAACCTTGGAACCAGATAATCCCAATTACCTAAGTAGGTACCTAGGTAGGTAGGTAGGCTAAACCAATGGTGATGTAATACAATCGACTTCCAACTTGTTCTCCCCAGCCGCTAGTATCAAGCCTCCAAGCCCCCTTTCTCTACTTAACCTAGGTACGTATTTCGCTTTATTATTAGATCGAGGCACGCACACCAAATAGAACAAAACAAATAACAACCAGCCCTGCATCCGGGGGTAGGAATTGGAAGTTCGTTCGTCATAGATCGGCCGAAATTAGTTCCAATCCTCTAACCTAAGTAAATATATATGAATGACAACCCCCTTTCCCATTCT